CGTTATTATGTTTAATACCAACGTTCTTTATGTTTAACACCAACGTTCTACATGTTTAACACCAACGTTATCTTTAATACCAACGTTCTTTATGTTTAACACCAACGTTCTTGATGTTTAACACCAACGTTCTTTATGTGTAAAACCAACGTTATTGTTTAACACCAACGTTCTTTATGTTTAACACCAACGTTATTATGTTTAACACCAACGTTCTTTATGTTTAATACCAATCTTCTTCATGGTTAATACCAACGTTCTTCATGTTTAATACCAACGTTCTTCATGTTTAATACCAATGTTTTTCATGTTTAACACCAACATTCTGTATGTAGTTTCTATTTGTATGTACGTATGTTAATTGATAAAGTTAGAGAATGATTGTGGAAAGGGTTCAAATGAATGAATATTCATAACACTGTGTGTTTTAAGTTTTTCATGCTGTCCCTTTTGATGTGCTTTTTCTCTTGACAGTGTTTGAGAGGTATAAGAGCTACAGTCCGTACGACATGAAGGAGAGCATCAGGAAGGAGGTGAAGGGAGATCTGGAGAAGTCCTTCCTCACTCTGGGTAATAAACAATACTACAGGACCAGGACTTATCCACTGTTGTCATAAAACTGTCAAAACACAGACAGAAAGTACTGAAAGACTAATACATGAGACCATGACAATAAGTAAAACATGAAACAGCAGACTGACTCTTTACATGAGCCCAGAATCAAAGAGTCCTTTGAAGAGGATGATGGTGATGAAACAGGTCCATTTAATGTCCGACTGTCTTCTCTTCACAGTGGAGTGCTTTGAAAACAGGCAGCTGTACTTCGCCAACAGACTCAGTGAAGCCATGAAGGTACAGTTTCATAATTTTTCTTAAGTTTTATACTGATGAACAATTCTGAGGTACTTGTATTTTACTTGAGTATTTCCATTTTATGCTACTTAATATTTCTACTCCACTTCATCTCTTCACTGCACTACATTTATCTTTAGTTAATAGTTAATACAAAAGGTTGAATTGAGTTGGTAAGTTTTTAAGTGCAATTCTACTGAAAATATCTGTCAGTAATATTAACAATAAATACAATGTTGTTTCTTCTGTCTATCTGCAGAGTAAAGGAGCAAAGGAGAAGGTGGTGACCAGGATCATGGTGTCTCGCTGTGAAGTCGACCTGATGAAGATCAGAACAGAGTTCAGGAAGCAGCACAAAAGATCTCTGTACCAGACCATTGCTGTGAGTATCAGCCAGTGTGTGATTTAATATTTACATCGGTAATAAGATTTAATCAATAACAAAGATTTAATATTTACATCAGTACTACACCATGAGACATTATCATTATTGCTATTGTTATGAATAATAGTATTGTCATTATCATTATTATTAATACTATTATTATTCATATTATTATTATTACTATTATTGTTATTATCTTTATCAGTATTATTACTGTTTTGGCTATGATTGTTAATAATAATAATAATCATAATAAAATACATATTTGTTAATGTTATTATAATCCTTATCATCACATTATTACCCTTGTCTCTTTGTGGTTCAGGAGCACACTAAAGGAGACTACCAGAAGGCTCTGCTCAGTCTGTGTGGAGGAGACGACTGAGACCTCAACTCTGTGTGGACTCAGTTTCCCAGAAGGCCGCTGGGTTTATAATCAGATGACCGCAGTATTAGAGGCTTTTGGTGTTTTCCTCTAAATTAAATAGATCAGTTTGTGAAATAAAAACGTTCCACTTGTTTGTGTGTTTGCTTGCTGTTTAATGAAGTAACCAGCACGGGGCAGCAGAGGCTCACTGAGAAATAAAGACTGGTCTCTGCAGTGTACAAGTACTGGACTCACCAGGTCACTGGAGGAGTATTTGTACACACACTATTCGAAAACACGAAAGTGTTTTATTTCTGTTCATGCTATTCTCTTCTTCTACTCATGAACTGAACTAACTCATTAAAAAATGACTTTGGTTACCAGAGAAAAGACTCAAAAGAGACTTTTTTCTCCGACAGTTTGAAGACGTTGATTAAACGTTTACATTTAGAATACATTTCACCCGGATTTGCACTAGTGAATATTTTGATCCTCTACATTGTGATAATAATAGTATATCATCATTTCAGAGGCCAATATTACAAATATGGTAAATCTGGTCTAAACTATTAATCAACGTCTTGAAATAGTCGCTGAAAAGAGTTTCACTTTTAAACGTCTTTTAACCATCACCGTATTTTAAAGGCCTTTTTAGACCTAAAAGTGCTCACAGTCACAGTATGTAGTACTTAACATGTGTAGTCATAGTAAGACATTAACAGTCTCCACACAGGACAAAGAAGACCATGTGACCCAGGAAACAATTTGTATTTATGAAACAACACTTTAAATATAACGTGAACAATGTTGTTTAAATACAACTACAATGAAATAGAAACCACACGAGTGTTGACAGTGAAAACAATAACAACATCCCCTCTTCTTCTTTAAATGTTGTTGACCCTCTTCCTGTTTGTACATCACTTTGTTTTACTCACTTCCTCCTCATCCCGACTGTATTCAGCCCAGGAGGTAACTTCCTGTTCATTAAAGAGAAGAAGTCAAAGCTTCATGTGTTAAAGCTGCATTCTCTCTAGTGTCCACCAGGGGGCGACTCCTCTGGTTGTATAGAAGTCTATGAGAAAATGACTCTACTTCTCTCTTGATTTATTACCTCAGTAAACATTGTAAACATGAGTTTATGGTCTCAATCTCTAGTTTCAAGTCTTCTTCAATACAGCATGATGTTCATTTAGTACATTATGGTCCATTTAGAGTCACACAGACCATAAAGCAGGGGATGCTTTAGGGCGGGCTACACGGTGATTGACAGGTCTCTACCAGAGACATATACAGCGTCTCTACGTCACTCCTCCTCAGTCCACATATGGTCACTTCCTGTTTATTGGTTGCAAAAAATCCAAGATGGCGACGGCGAAACGCCGAACTCGAGGCTTCAAAACGTCCACAAACCAACGAGAGACGTCACCATGGCGACATCCTCTTCTGGTATCCAGTCTGTGAATGAATGTGTAATAACCTTCTTATACACAGTCTGTGGTAATAACGGTCAGCTGTGCCTTGAGGAAGAAGGAGAAGTAAAGGTGTTCTTCATCAGGAGTTGCTCTATACATTCATGAAGGTCTTCCTCAGTTCTGTTCAATTAATAAAGTTTTGTTGGATCAAAGTCAGCATTTGATGTGAAAATATTGGTTCTGAATTGGTCCGTAGAGCCACAAACACACATATTTGTGATGTGTGTTTGTGTAATCTCACACTAATGAAGTCAGATAAAAAGATCCTCCAGGTTGTCTTTCCTTTAATCGTTCGTATCTTTTCTTTTGTTTGTTTGCTGCAAATTTTTTAATTAAAGATGCTAATTTGACCTCCAGCTACAGTCGCTAATTAGCATTTCTGCTGCAGAAAAAAGATATCGCTGTTCATACTGAGAGAGAGGAAGGTGGTCCGACCGACTAGATATTAATAAAGACGACGTTTCTACATTCAGACCATCAGGGAGGAAGTCAGGAGTTTATTATTATTATTATTATTATTGAAACACGTTTGACTATAATTCATTTCCAGAGCGCTCACAACCACTCAGCTTCATGCTAATGATGCTGATGTCACCAATATGCAAATTAGGTTATGACTTTGTTTTTGTGAGCTAGTGCTAGCATGGCTGTTGGAGCACAGCTGTTAGCGCTAGTTAACAATGTAGCTGAGTAGCTAGCTTGTCCTTCCTGCTGCTATGATGAAAAGTATAATGGTGTTCAAACTGTTGGATCCTGGACTTTAAATGAACACAAAAACCCTGAATGACGTGTAACTTCCTCTCAGCAGCCTCGAATCCTCTGATATCTTCATGATGCTGCAGCGCCATCAACACGTGTTGTTCCTCTGAACACTGCTGAAGCTATGAAGGTGATAAAGACTCAGAAACACGTTAATTCACGGTGAGTTTCTGTTTTCAAACAGACAGAAGTCGTGTGAATGAATCAGCTCTTCTCTCAGCTCTCAGCGTTGATCTGATGCACGAGTGTTATTTGTTTAAAGCAGAGCGAATCCTCAACCGTCATGCTCCCATAATCCCATCGCCAGCCTTCCTTTTCAATCCCGTCATCCCCCTCTCTCTCCCTCCCTCCCCCCCCCGAACCTCCCGGCGGCTCCCAGAAATCACTACGACGGCCACACCAACATGAACCAAATGTCAGCCTCTCCTGCCTCGGTAATTACAGCGCTGCCCGTCTTCCTCCTCTGAAAACCAACATGTGGAGGACTGTGAAGGTGAAAGCAGGAGAGCAGGATCTGAGACGATCACAGTTTAGGAATAATCCACCTTCACATCTCAAGTGTTGCTTAAACATTCCTTGAAGGACAGTATATTTGCTGATGACAGAAGATATTTCACCTTCGATCCTGCAGCTGGTTAATTCTTCTTCTCTTCTGTTGACTCATTTGTCCCGATGTCACCAATCACAGAGCCCTGGTATTGTTTAACCGGTTCACTTACCGATCGAGCAGCTGGACTTTTAGTTCCGTAAAAAACATCAGAAAACACACACAGCTTGTTCTTTACACCGATTATTTTCCAGGAAGAAACTATTTCACTATTTAAATTGGAAAGATGAAAAGACGAATCATTCATGCATAATGCAAAGCAACAGATGAGGCTCTCAGATAAACCATTTAGTGTCTTTTCAACTCAAATCAAGGCTTCAAGTCATGAATCCTGATGAGCACACCAGGCCGCCACATGCTTCTGTAAAAGGAACAATTAGAAGCGGCTCGCTAATTAAGCGCTGAGATCAAGAGCCTTTCTGTCTCCAGCCTGAAGCCGGTTTCTCCACCGGGCTGCTGATCAAAGCGACGCCCGAGGATCGGCACATCTCCTCTGGCTGAATGCAGATCGACGCTCATCGTTACAAAAGAGAACAGTCAAAACTGACACAAGCAGAGAACACTACAAATATTTCCTGCAGAAAAGTCGCAGCTTGTTGAATCATTATTACACAAATGAAGCCAGAAACCTTGTTTGTGAGTCCAGACAAAGACACAACTGTCTTTCTTTCTACTCTCCAAAGCTAACGAAGCCACATTCACGCCCGCCTACTGAGCTGCACATGTTTAATCTCGTCATTTCCTTTTATTCAGCTCTTGTTCTTGGGGAATATGCAAAGTTTATCAGGCCCGCATCCTGACTTTCATGTCGGGCCTCGGCTTCTTGACTGAGCTGCAGACAGACGCTGAGAGAGATTGAGGAGTCAGGTAGAAGCCGCGTCAGCCTGCAGGCTTGAGTGACGCCCGTGTGTGCTAATGCACCGCGACGTGCTCCTGATGTCAGCTCTTCATTATAAATACTTTTAAAGGGGCTCCGACCTTCTGAGCGCTGCGTGCACAAGCCTTTGATTTCTGCTCCTCGTGGGTTTCGGGTTCGTCGTTGTGACAGCGCTGCTGTCAGCTCCTCATCACGGGCCTCTTGTCGTCTTTTTGTGGGAAGTTTTGCAACAATTATCATAAATATTTCATCTATTTCTGCCCTGCGTCGCCCCTGCTGCTGAAACAGGATCCGGCTGATGTCACCAGAGATGTCACCGAGCGCTGCCGGAAAACGACAAACCTTTGTAAAGTGTGCTTTTCTCTCCATTAACATACAAAGACGAAGCCAGAGAGGCAAACAGCCAAACATATGTTCCCTTTGTGCTCTTTTATTGAACATATTTGGAAGCAAAGAAAGCAGAGTTTGATTACGAGGGGAAGCCTGAGTGCATTCATGAGACATACTTGTACACATTATTTATTTCACACCAACTTATTTACATTCTAGATGGAAGTTTACCGAGGGAATCTGCTGACACACCGGGACAAAGAGGAGAAACTTCCAGGTAAGAGGAGCTCCGTCTTTTCAACAAAGTTCCTCTC